TCAATTGCTTGACTATCTTTGTTTCATTAGGCGAGCCAATAACATTTCTTTTCCACAACTCGACGACTTTTTTCGTTCCAAATGATACATATCGCCTGCGTGTGCTCGCTGTTGGAGGAGGGGGAGGCGGGTGCGGCGGGATAATGAAAGGACTGGGTAGGAGTGGTGATGTAGCAGTAAAAATTGTTCATGTCAGCGGACCAGCGGCCATCAATGTGTCTGTGGGACTCGGAGGATTAGGCGCTGAAGGCCACAGTGTAAAATCGATATCCAATGGAGGATCTTCTCATTTTGGCAAATACTTCACTGTCCCTGGAGGTCCTGGGTGTTCAAAGAGTAAATCTGAATACAACCTAAGTCACCTCAAAGGAATAAGACACCTGCAGATGAGCAAAATAGCTAAAGGTAATCTGATCGCTATATCAATAAAATTTATGACTTCATAGACGGACCCCAATCAGAAGCATTTACCAACCTGAGAAAAATACGAATACATGCAATGTTTGCACTGGCAATATTAACCTTCTGGCTGAAAACTGATTTCCAAATAGGTTAGTATTATTACAAGGCGTTGAGTCTGGCTTGAAAAAAATTAATTTTAAGAGACAATCATCCATCAAATCTTGTAGCTATGTAAAAGCTTCCTGCCGCTTAGCATGATCGGCTTATCTACATCTACTAAACACTTCGCAAAAAAATCATACCTCACGACTTTTTTTAACACCTTAAGTTAAATTGAGCATTGCTTTACGGATTCAATGTCCATCATACGACGAAAAACAATAAACTAGCAACTTCTTAAGCTTCCATATAAAATCAGGAGCGTAGCCAGGATTTTTCAAAAGGGGGGTTACACTTTGTCAAATAGAGTGTGCTCACCAGCTTTTCATATTGACCTCCACGCCTTGTTTTACTTAACGCGACATAAAAGGGCTTACAAAGATTGTGGACACGGGCACCCAAGGGCCCTCCCTGGCTACGCCCTTGAAAAATCTATTGTAGGACTTTTAGTCAATCCAAGGTGAAGTATCATTCAGAATCATTTCAGGTGTGAATGGCGTGTCTAACAGCTCTGGTCTTAAAGGTGGAGAGGGTGGAATTCTTATCAATGGCTCTGGACCTTCAGGGAACAAGGGAGGAGGTAGCACTTCAGCATTAGGAGGGATTGGCTACGGAGCAGGAGGTGGAGGTGGAGGTGCACTTTACTTACACAGTGGATCTCTAATTTATCCTGGAGGAATGGGCGCTAAGGGTGTTGTCTACGTGGAAATGCTACATTCCGGTATCAGTTACAGTATATGCTCTCAATTTGTTTTTCACAATTGAAACTGTTTTACTTGAGACACCAAACCTTTGCTATTGTAAGCAAATAATAGCATACAATGAAAATTTCTTGTTAGACGAATATAACCATCGTCCCAATGGAGGATTTCCAGGCTTCTTGTCCTTTAAATAAACAGTGACTTTTACCATTTTTTCGAAATCTTTTTTACTTCTTTCATTTGTTCTATTTGTTTCCATTAGTTTATTTTTGCATAAAAAGTATTAAAATCCCGTTTCTCTCTACAGTCTGTTCAAACCCAGCTCATATAGTCTTTGCAGTGGAATCGCGTCATTCTCAGAGCGAGTTTGATGAACAGTTAACCTTCATACAGCACATTATCAAGTCCTTTCAGATATCTCCTGATAACGCCCGCGTTGCTTTGATAACGTACGGGAATGAAGTCCATCTTCAATTTGGATTTCATGACTTCAAGGACTCTAGCAACCTTTTGAAGGGGGTTGCCAGCATCATGAATGATTTTAAGGAGAGTGCAGAGGTGCAGTTCGCTAAACTATACGAAACAGCGCTGATAACCTTTGACGCCGAAGGAAGAGCAAGTACACCATTGTCTAGGGCGTTAATTGTGTTTACTTATGCTAAAAACGCCACTCAAAACGATTCGATGCACAACTTGGTGAGCAGCGCTGGGAATAAAGGCATTTTGATGTCAGTAGTTGCAATGAGAAACACGAGCAAAGAAGAAGACTTTCCGAGTCTGGTAGAGGACGAGCAAAACGTGTTTACTGGAGGAACGACTAATATCACAAACGACGTTCCTTGGATTGTCGATCTCATTTGTCAAGGTAAAACAGTTTATCGTCAAGATCAGCGATGCACCACTTGTATCTATATATATATATATAAGTCAATGCTAATCATACTAAGAAATAATGCAAAACGATATTTCTCCTCTCTTAATCATTTGATAGGACCAACAGCAGGAAAATCTGACATCAGCTCAACAAATGTCGGTCTCGTTCCATCAACGTTAGAAGTTGTAACAAGTTCCAGTTCATCGAACGTTACAAGCCTGTACTGGCACACTCCGTCACTTTTTGGTACGAAAACGAATACTTTTTTTCCCAACCCTCTAAAGGAAGGCTAATGCAAAAGCTTCTGAAACTCACTAAGTTCCTCAATTCGGTTATAACGGTTCTTGCCATGTTATTTGAAATTGTATGAGCCTGAGCCTGTCTTGTTGCTATGTATTGAAGGACTAGCATTTTGTAACATTAGTGTATCATGCAATATTTCTCCTGTTTGATTATTTGTTACGTTAGCGTCTCGTGCACTGTAAGTTTTTTCTGTGTTCTGTTTTGATTGTTTGTTACGTTACAGTCTCGCGTGCTGTTTTCTCTGTGTTGTGTTTGATTGTTTGTTACGTAAATACCTCTTGTATGGTGTTCTCTGTATTCAGTTAGATTACTTGTTACGTTAGTCTCTTGCGCACTGTTTGCTCTGTGTTCTGTTTTATTGTGTGTTGTGTTAGTATCTTGCACATTGTTTTCTCTGTGTACTGTTTGATTGTTTGTTACGTTAGTACCTCGAGCAATGTTCGCTCTGTGTTCTCTTCTATTGCTTGGTAGTATCTCGCACATTTTTTTACCCTTAGTTCGGTTTGAAATTTTTGTTACGTTAGTAAATCGCTCCCTACTCACTTCTCTGTGTTCTCTTAGTATCTCGCACTCTGTTTTTTCTTTGTTCATTTGATTGTTTGTTACGTTAGCATCTCGCGCGTTGTTTTCTCTGTATACTGTTCGATTGATTGTTACGTTAGGTAATTCTTGCATACAGTTAGCTCTGTGTTCTGTTTGATTGTTTGCTAAGTTAGGGTCTCGTGCACTGTTGTTTTAGTGTTTTGTTTAATTTTTGTTTTCTATGCGTAATAGCTGATTTGGGCTTCACATAGATCAACATTCGCGGGAAAAATATCTTAAGCTCATAATTTATCTGCTTTTTATCATCGCCAGCTTATGAAGTAATACGCCAAGATAATTCAATTGTTAGGGACTATTACATTGAACTAATAGGGAGCACTTTCTCAAGCGAACTGAAATTTAAAAAGGCTTAACTGTTGCCTTTCGTTCTGTTCCAGCCGAGAATATCTCCACAGAAACTGTTTACAGACACAATTTGACAGTAGCGACCATTACCGTGAGTGCAACTGTCCCTGTTAAGGCCACTACCCACAGTCAGAATGGCAATCAACGGACAGTGGAGGAACTTGAGGAAGGTACTCCAAATTGTGTGCATGCATTGACATACCAAATTTCTAAATTTTATAAGCCTCTAGTATAAATTCCCTTTTTCTTTAAGAGCTAATGGTAGAGAATTCGTCTTTACAGATCTTGATGATGTTTTAAATTTTAATGTTTCGTCGATCGACCCAGGTGATATCGTCAACATTAAGGTAAGTTTGTATCCGTATTCGAAATAATCAGGATTCCTTTGCTACCATACTGGCTGTGTCATCATGAGGACGTAAATAAAATGAAGTCAGCAAAGATACGCCAAAGACTAGGCTTGAATTTTCAATTTTTTTTGGTGGAACCTCGTCTCCCTTGAGAGAAACCTTATGTGTCAACACATGTTTTAGAAAACTCAGTTTTTTTTATAATCAGGCATATGCTGTTTCCTAACATAAGACATGCCATTTTTCATGGCCAAGAGAACTTGTACTATACGAAACCTTGTTGGCTCCCAAGCGTCCCGACAATAGTGCTGTTACTTCATCGAGGTCCTTGCTCAATGCTTTACCTATTGATCAAATATATGTAATATTCACTCGGATTATTACAATGATAGATTTCTGATCGAATTATCAGAAAAAAAACGTCTCGTGTGAGCTGTTTAACTATTCCACACACATGCACGGATTAACTCCAGCTCCTGTGGTTGATGCCCTCTGATCTTTTTAGGAGTCTTAGTGATCGCTTTGAAGCTTAACCCTTTACGCCCTAACATCAGTATGTATATTCTCCATACTGTTCTCCGTCCATTTCCAAAGAGGCTGACAAGGAGAATTTGTTTAAAAATCAAGAAATGCTTTAGTTGGTGATCATCTCCTCCATTCTTATGTTTGATTTAGGGGTGGTGTAATAAGGAGCAATTTGATGCTAGTCACTCTTAGAGGCTTAAGGATTAAGGAGCTCATTTTAGCCCCATGTCGGGTAAATGCGAGTGTTTTCTTACTTGGCTTGCAGAACTATATCAACTTAGCTGGCGACGTCCTCGCTGAGAGTCACAGGCTACCAAACGCCTCAGAGGCAAGTCTTACTTTTCGTACCAATCTACATTAGTCCTTAGACTAGTAAGACTACAATCTACATTAGGCCTTAGTCCTTAATAGAGTTAAACAGTCTTAGTTAAAGAAGATGTGCTCCCACGAGTTAGAGCTAGCGAAAAAAATTATTTAAAGATATAACGTCTATGTATCCGTCAGTAAGAGCTCTTCTCTATTATTTTACATTATCCTGGGTGACAGTTTGTCTTGCTAAAAGGGCAAAGAATTATTCATTCTTGATTTCTTTCATGTGATATGTAAAGAATCAAAACTTGCACGATCACCACATCAAAATCATGTGACCGGTTTTTATGAATCCTTTTGCCAAATGGATCTTTTGTGATTGATGGAATATGGCATTGATTTTGTATTCTTTTGAAATTCGTCAGCGCGGGATAGAATTTAAGTTAGTGCAAAAAGTTGAAGACATCGGCCTCTCATTGGCAGAAAAACTGGTACCGACAAGAGATGGGTACAAAACTGTGGCACTTTCCTCTGGGAAAGTAGGTGAGCAATTTTCGTCAATATGTTTCTTTCCTTGCCCCGGTCACGGTGCGTGACGGACGGTGTTCACAAATATAGAAAATCTGGGTAAAAGAAAAAAAGACAGCTAACCCCTACATCACTTTCTTTTTTTTTAATATATATATTTTGTTCTCTAGAAATGGAAGTGGCGTCTATCAACCTGACACAACTGGAACAGTTAAGTTTACCAGACACCCGTAACAGCTCTTACAAAGGAAGTTCCTTGGAACAAATTGGCAAAGTCGTAATCCCTCTCGAGGCCTTTGCCTCTAATACATCAGGTACATTAATGAAGAATCTTCCTTACAACGTGATAAATGCTGCTCCTTTGTCTGCATGGTGAGAGGGAGAATATGTTGCAAATGAAGATTTCAACCGATGACATACAACGGTACCTGTATGCATTCCTTAAGATTTCTGAGAATTTAATGGAAGGTTGCGAATCTTAATTTTTGTTAAGGAAAATATCATTGTGATTTTGAAAGATCAAATCTTGCTCAAGGTTTTACAAAGCCTTGGCCAAATTAACTTTGTTAAAACCCTAACCCATTTATTGACCAGTTTGTGGGCTGATAAAGAGCCCTGTTACGCTCATTGACTCCATTTCTGTGGTAACACCCAAGTTATTTAGAGAATGATTTTGAATTTAAAGTTTCCCCCCAAGTTTCAGTCACACAAAATCGCAGACCATGCTGCGATGTAAATTTGCTTCAACCACCTCTGAATTGCCAAACAGCTATTCGCATTTAGTTCATTGAAATGCACGCTTCTGGAATCGACATAATGTCTTTTTTTACAGAGCTTGGACAGGCAGTGTGGATAATGTTCGATCCATTGACGGCTATGAACAACTCTGCGTAAGTGGTTGACCGGCATTTGGTATGACTTTTAGATAAACTTTTCTTTCGCAGGCTGGATTTCAGTTTTAATGCATTTTTTTTTTGTCACTTTGAGAGCAAGAAGGAATTTTTAGTGAATGTTCCTTTGACCTTGAAATTTTAAGAGAAAACTCCACCCATTTATTTCCATACCAAATCGATTTTATCGAGGATTTTCATGGAAAATAAAGGAAAGCTAAAGACACTTTTTTCTTTCCCACAGCGAAAGTACAGTGAGTACTCGTATTATGAATGTCATTGCACAACCGCATCGCACGCAAGAGTTTGAGAAACCAGTCGAAATGACGTTTTGGCCTGCTCAGGTAAAAACTCTTATCTGCATATAGGGGATATGTCACTTTTTGGTTCTTTATCAAGGTTTTAATTCCTCGCTGTTCTTTTCATTTCGTATCTCGACGTCTAGGCCAGTCAGAGTAACGAACATTGTGTATTTTGGAATCAGAGCGAGGGGTAAGTCTGATTTACTTTTAGAGGATATGAGGGTCTTCCCACTTATTAACTGACTGATTGACCCATTGTTTAACAAATTACTGACTGACAAACTGACTGACTGACTGACTTTGCCCGACTGACGTGCTGACTCATTAAGCAACTCACGGTTAACTCACAGACATGTAAAGAAAATGCACCATCTGGTAATGTGGATGCATTTTTGGGTTTATACACGTGACTCCCTGACTGGCCAGCTTGCTGACTGAACCACTTGCTCGCTCGCAGACTCACAGAAAAGTTATAAAAATGCAACCACAGACAGTACTGATTCGTTTCCCCTCAAAGTTTACTAAAATTGAATTATGTTCACTCAATTCTAATCTAGAAATTACCACGGCATCTGGTCGACAGGAGGTTGCCAAGTTGCTTATAAAAACTATTCTACAATCACGTGCCATTGTAATCACTTAACTAGTTTTGCTGTTCTTACAAGGGTCACTCCACATCAGGTAAACTAAACACAACCTTTTCAACAGCGCTATCGTTCCTCTCCTTAAATAATTAGGAAAAGGCGTGGATCCAAAGAAAAAGAACTTGAAAGGCTGCGTATTATAGTCACCGTGTTTCAATAATGCCAGAGCGTCAGTATCGCAGTTTCCTTAGCATAAAATAGCCCAGGATACTATCATTTCCGACGCACAGGAATATTAGCCCGTTACAGCTTCCCTTCAGCAATTTATCAAGTTCCTCTGACATTTTGCTGGAACCGATTTGTACTCTTGGGTAGAGAGGGGCTTCATCCCTCTAACAAATAATCGTTTCCCATGTTGTTGTTATACATATTTTGTATTTTTTCCACAGCCCAGCGAAAAACACGAACTATCGCTGTCGATCATTACCTATGTGGGATGTGGTCTGTCAGTACTTGGATGTCTTCTAACAATCCTGACCTATGCATTCTTACCGTAAGTATGCAGTCCGGCTGTACGAAAATATTGCAGTGGCATAAAAATCACGGTGCAACTTTCATCACTCTCAATTCGGTCTGCCTAAAAGTCTCACTCTATCACTTCTTTGAAATAGAGAAATAGCCATTAATTTATTGAGTAAATTCTAGGATCAAAGTTTCCATCTCTTTCTCTTTTGGCTAATCGTTATCCTGTTTACATATTTTACAGGAGTCTTCGGTCGCAGAGAATTCTTATTCATATGAACTTGGTGATTGCTATTCTTTTGGCCCAAGTGTTGTTTTTGGTGGCGGTGTTTGCGGTGAGCCCGCAAACATCAAGGGTAAGTTACTGCCGACAGTGTAAAAAATCCCTGAAAGTAATGTAAAGTAAGGAAAGCAAATAAGAGCATTTTTCTTGCAGTGATTTCATTAACTTGATATGGACACTCCACTAAACAATGATTAAATTTCAAGTTGATGAGCGACAGAACTCGCACCTCGAATTTTGGTTGAAATTAAACCAGTCATGGTTATCCTTTACAAATCCTAAAGGAAGCATTCTGATGTCATGCTGTACTTAATTTTTTTCTTCAAATGTTAATCTCATGAAGTAGAATTTTTACTTAGCCATGTGTATATTGCAGGTGGCCTGTTACGGGATTGCAGTAGGCCTGTTTTTCTTCTTATTATGTGTGTTCTCGTGGATGTTAGCCGAAGGCCTCCATATCTATTTCATGGTAGTCAGAGTCTTTGATTCTGGGAGAACAAGGAAGCTTTTTTACTTGCTTATAGGATGGGGTAAGAAACTTTTATTCGTTTACTTATATTTCTTCTTGTTTTTCTTTATTTCTTTTTCGTTGGACGGAATGCTGACTGTGATGTTTAGAGTGTATTACTCGTGTGACAAAGGCATTTGTATTAGCACATTTTAATACAATTTTCGGTCCACAAGTCGATGAACCTAAATGGAGCAAAGATGCTTGGCAAAGTAGGGAGTTTAAATACGTCAGTAAAAACCGTGAAATCAGCTCTCTGAGTTTAATCCAGCGCTTCGATGGCAAAACGGCACCAAGTTATGAATGATGGTTTTTAGCTAATCACAGGAACCTATGGTTCCTGCTAATCATTAATACTTTCAATTATTTTTCGAAAGGTTTTCCATTTATTGTTACTGTGGTTGTGGTTTCATTTTTTCAAAGGGGACTTCTCTCCAGAGATCTGTAAGTACATTGTAAAGTACTTGTTGATCAACAGAAACTACGCAAATCTGCGCGGTAGGGGTTGCAGGGGATAACGCGTTTAATCCAAGTTTTAATGCATAAATTAATTGTCTAAAAAATCAAAGCAGTGGAGTGAGAGATTTAGCGAGTGACTGAAATTTCCTTCCATACCAAAACCTCATAGTATAAATGACGTCAGACCATGACATGAGGTAGAAAGGAAAGTTTAATGTAAATCGGCAAAAACGCCACGGCATAATCTTTATCGATAGTTAAAAGTGATTAATATCTATTTTTGGGCGAACTGTTTATTGGGTTACTGATTTTGAAAATTCTTTCATGTCCTGTTCGCAGATGCTGGCTTTCAATTGAGACTGGAGCCATTTGGAGTTTTGTTGGTCCACTCATCTTTGTCATGCTGGTATTTTACACCGTGATCACCACTTTTTTTCTAACATTAACGTTCAATAACATTCACTTTTATATTTACGGTTAAATTGGTTACACTCTGAGTGTTTCATCTACCACTTTAAACCATATCTTTTATTTCTCGTCAATCTGCAGTTTAATCTGGTCATTGTAACCATGGTGATGAGTGTTACATCTAAAATGTTAAATGAAGAGAGGCCATCCAATGTTAGGTAAACGATATAATCTAACATAGGTTTTTTTCTTGTCTGTCTCTCTATCGGTGGCAGTCTAGATCTGCCTGCCTACTTGGCAGTCTGTGTGTCTGTGTGTCTGTCTTAGTGTCTGTCAGTCCGCCTGTGTCAGCCTGTATCTGTCTGGATTTGCCAATATATAACCCATATCTTATGCCTGTCTGTCTGTTTGTCTGTCCATCTGTCCGTCTACCTGCCTGTCTGTCTGTCTTTCTGTCTACTGTCTGTCTGTCGGTCGGTCGGTCTGTCTGCCTGCCTGCCTGTCTGCCCGCCCGTCTGTCTGTGTGCCTGTCTGTATGCCTGTCTATCTTTCTGTCTGTTTGTCTATCTGTCTTTCTAAATGACTTTTAGCATATATGTCTATCCATTTGTATCGCTATGGTCTGTCTCTGTCACCATCTTCCAATTTACTCTTTTCTTTTGACTGTGTTACTTACCGAAGTGGACTTGCCTTTTACTCACGCCCATGACTGTTCAGTGAAATTATTAATTACCGGTCTTTGCACATACAGTCGTTTGTTTAATCAACTTTTCCTTATTTGTACCTCAAAGGTCTTTGACAAAAGCCTTCGTCACCCTTCTTCCTATTCTGGGTCTGACATGGGTGTTTGGTCTTCTTGCTGTCAACAATAACTCCATAGTATTTGAATACCTTTTTGCAATATTCAATTCCTCGCAGGTAAGATGTTTTTAAGAGTAAACAATGTTAACTGTTGCACTCGGTTAAAATGATATACATCGCAAAAAATGCCGCACAGTGTCTAAGAAACTCACGGCTATTCCAGCCTTCGTCGGTTACCTCCCTGGCCTATATTCCCTTTCTCGATCACATTATTTTCATCGGTCCTCCATCCAATTAATTCATTCATCTTATCATCTTTCCATCTATGCATGATTTTTAGCGAAATACTTCACACGTTAGTTACCAACACGGAAGCTTCGTCTTGTTTTCTGTAGTTCACGGCCTTTGTCTCATTGCAATTTTTATCAAAGGAACCGTGGTTATGTAGAGTATTTTATGCATTTACTTATCCGTCCATCCGTTTTCCAATGTAAATAATTCATTTATCTAGAAAACAAATCTTTCTCACCAGGGCTTCCTTATTTTTCTCTTCTACTGCTTGAAAAATTCAGAGGTGAGTAGCATTAAATGTTTCGACGACAAAAGTATTTGTGTCTCCAACTGACACCGACAACAGAGTTGAAAAACTAAGTAAACAGTGCATCTTTTGTTTCTTTTGACGTAATCTTGTGTCCAAATTGAACTTAGGTTCGTAAAGAATTTAAAAGGAAACTGCACAATCTACGTGCGCAGAGGCATCCCTCTTCTCAAAATCCGTCGAACACTCCAAGATCTACGCCGGCAGAAATTGAAGTGCCAGGACCTTGCCCTCAGCAGGAGAACATAACACGAGATAAGGGCTTTGAAACAAGACTATGACCATATTTATTTTGTCTTACTTACTTTCTAAAACAACTGAAGTATTTACACGTTTCTTCACGACTTTTTAGCCCAAGCCATTAGCCCAGTCTTTAAAATGGAAGATGTGAAATATGTTTCGTTGCTACTGCTGATTTATACGTCGAAGAACATAGTTTTGACGAACTTGCCCTTGCTTGGCTGAACTTGAACAAACTACAGACAGAGACTACTTAAGTATTTATAGGTTATCCTCGTCTAAACTCGAGAAAAGTCCCTCGTGGATTTCTTTGATAAGATCAACATACCGGTAAGACAGGCCACCTTTTGTAAAACGAGATAGGAACTACACTGATGAAATTTGACGGAACGCCGCAAGATCAAATGATTCCCATATGAGTCAAAGCAACTATTATTGTTAAAGAACCAGATTTTAAAGGGGGATTTTCGAACGTGGAGCAAGAAGGCAGCTAGAGTAAGGATAGTTCTACAAAACATAGCATGGAAATATATATATGTATATATATGTATATGAAAAAGTGTGAAAAAAAAGTTAAAAATTCCTGAGTTGAATTTGTTGTAGAACAGGTAGAACTTCAATCGGCGAAAACCTCATCAACATAGATGCATTGAGGAAGACAGCTGACAAAACCAGAACAGTCTGTTTGACAAAACAACAAGGGTAGGGCAGATAATTGATTAGCTCCAGCAAGAGGCGCCTGTGAGGGGCTGTGATAGAAATTCCATATGCATCTAAAATGGTGTGTAAATTCACGGCTTATCTTTCCAAGTTACAGATCAAGAAGATGACTCAAAGGGATGTTGGGTATAGTTCTCATGACGTAAAAGCAGTTCAACGGGCGCTTAAAAAACACCACTATGAAAGTTATGACCCTGGCTCCGCCATTAAATAACCACTGAGACCCCAGGAATGTAGACTCCTAGTACTAGATAGTCAGCCTTTTCCGGGTAAAATGGGTAAACGACAAAGAATAAATGGGTTCCATGTGCCTGTCCCATTTAAAACCTGGTATAGATTTGTATCCGACCTAAAAAGTGCAGCCATCTGTCCGCTGTACTTGCCTCTAACAGTAATCAAAGTATGGTCAATGAAAAACTGCCTTAACACCTCGTTAACGAATTCTGTTGAAATAGCAAGACAATTGAACAACATTCTGAGTCCTCAAATTAATTACCGAAGTTCTTGAATATTCCTTAATTAGCCCTCTGTACAGCTATTTTTCACTCGTTCTATTATATAATGTTCTATAATAATGATACCAGCAATCTCATCGATCCATTTTCTTCCATTCATGCTCTAGCGAAGACACCAGACATCAGACCCTTATCATGAATGAAACCGTAGCCCTACACCCATCATTGCGAATATGTTTCTTTCTTATGGTCCATATATAATGATGACGTATCAGTGATGGTGTTTCGTCAGTAGTTATTTCACTGTAATCGAGTTTAACAACATCGAATTACAAAAACAAGTTATATGGCGGGTAATCAATGCGGACAACTTGATCGATCAAAAGTCGATCGATTACGTCTCGTTTTCCAGATGGTCGGTGGACACCTCGATTGTGACATCGGCTTGCAGTGTGTCGTGTGTCCAATCGACCATCGGCCGACTATCATTCCCTTTCTCGGTCGATTATCGGCCAACTATCAGTTCGTTTATGGGTCGATTATCGGTCGATGATATGCCGACTATCGACCGACCATTGGTCAATAGTTCGACCACAATGGATAAGAATTAGAACACATGATCCAAAATCGCTTGACTGTTAAGTAAGTATCGCTAAAAATTTATTTGTTTCTCCAACACAAAACATACCCTTTTCCGGTTCCATCCCAAAGGTATGATAGAGTTGGAACTCTGCCTAGGCGGCCAAACAACCAAGCCACCTTCCATAAATACGGTGCACGCATACACTTCTCAGTGGCTGCGGTCGATCGAAAATGATCCCTATATAATGCATTAGGGTTTGGCAATAGCCGTTGGAAACAGTTCATTTTTCCTGGTCTACCTTACTGAACGTGCATTCTTGAATTATTTTTGCTCGAGCTCTTTCAAGCCCTACTCGTTGGTTATTCAAGCCCTATTTATTGATTGAGTGCGCAAAAAAATAGTGCATGACAATGAATCGTAGGTGTCTGGGACGCTGCTGGCAGAAAGACCCATTTAATTTTTTTTCCTCTATTTTTAATCGCTTCCATCTGTTTTTCTACTGCTAAAACTGGCCGCGAAATCAGCGGAAACAACTGATTATTTCGCGGGTGTTTGGGCGACATAACGTCGCGGCAGTTTAACAACTGATCAATGTGTTATTTCTTTAGTAAGCGGTCAAGGTCAATTTTATTGCACGAGCTTTGAAACGTTAAATCGCACAGAGTTAAATATAGCGCACTGAAGCAAGACTTCACTAACTTTCGTTGAAAAAAAAGCAAACTTCAGAAATCATCGCATTATTTTGACAATTGGATTTCCGTTTTTAGCCCACGCGTTCATCCGAATCAACAATCCTGTCATGTTTGTGCCAGATGCTGCCATAAAATTCACCGAACTGCGACAGTCTTTCGTGTGTATTTCAACGAAATATTCAATTTCTCTCTTGCTGTCGACGCCTTGGGTAAAATAACGCTGAAGACGAGACGTAGAGATCGCGTGGGTTTTCAGCAAAACGATTAAACTTTGATCTGACACTGTCTAGATAAACCTCAAATTTAAATTCCAGTACAGTTATGTAAACAAAAATTACCCCGACTTGACTTCGAAGTTTTATTAGAAGAGGAAAACAAAAAGAGAAACTTCTTCCTTCTTCTAACTTTTAATGTGTCTATTATGTTACTTCATGCACTTCTTATCGCATGCAGAATTGGACCAGGACATCGGAAATGTTCAAATATTGTACTTTGTTATAATTCCGACCACCAGATACAGATTCTTATCACTTCGTCTTATTCCAGAAAAGTCTTTCACGAAAAAGCTCTTCTCTTATAGCACTTCTAAATCTTTAAATGTGATATCTTGACGCGTTTTGGTCATGAAATCTAAGCGCTGTTATCTTTAAAAATACCAAACATATAAATAGATCATGAAGAATGTAAATACAAAGATTTGCGCTCGTTGTTTGAATTTTAGTAATCCTGATCTTGGTCTGTTTGTGTTAATCTTCCATTGTAAGGCTATTTACATTGATTTTCCAACACAAGCAATATTGGGTATTATATTGGCTTTCTTAGTTGAACAAACCGTGGAATTTTGGTTCGAAGAAAAGATTTTAGTGAACGCCACAGGATAAAGATCAGTTGGGGGTACGCAGACTACGTCGCACAAACAAAGTGGGTGAAAAACTCTGAAGAAGGGAAGGAAACAACTAAATCAAGACAGGTCCAAATTTAGACAGAGTGATAAAGCTAGTTACATGAGTAGTCAATGCAAAATTTATGTGACGATATTACCATGTCTGTCAATTAAGCCAAGGCTTAAAATTTGGAGGCGTGATTAATCTGTAATAGAACCGTCCTCTTCTTTTTTCGCTTCTCCAGTTTGGGAAAAAAAAAAAAAGATCACAGAACTTTATAGGCTCCATCAAGTAGTTAAGTAGGATGCATATGGGTTCTAATTAAGAGCATCAAACCCGTTATCAAGAAAATTTACCTCCAACCGCATGTCCTTAAAGACTTAAAGAAGCTTAGGGTGTGCTATTGTGACGTCACATAGTTTTAAGCAAAAGTTACAAAGGGGTCAGAACCGAGGTCGGTACAAAACAAGTGCTTCAAAGGAAGTCATTTAAAATATGCATACCTCCACGTGTAATACCAGCCGATTTGATTACTATGACAGCGTTTTGCTCGAGTGATTCCTGCTTCGATGGTTTGAGTGTTTGTGTTAGCTCTGTTACAGAGTGTGCTTTTAATCAGACACTCTGGACTCAGACATGACTAAGGAGAGAAAGACATCTTCACCAGTTGAACAAGGATCGCATTTACACATGGCTATCAAGTTGTTGAAAGCGGAAAATGCGAACCTCGAGAAGATAATAATTTTGCTGAAGACCGAGAACCAAAACATGCAGCGTAAGATGAAGGAACTCGAATATCAGAACGACAGGTTTAAAATCACGCAAAATCAGCTAAAAGCGGAGTTGAAGAGGGAAAAGGAAATGGTGAGGTATTTACATAATGTGAACAAGAAATACGAGCGAACGCTTCAGAAGAAAGAAGCAGAGAGCAGACAGCTGCGCAAAGAGGCTAAAGAAGCTGAGATGAGGAGTCTCAAACGAGAAACCAAAGACGTAAACAATAACGCAAAGGAAACCGGCAAAGACACGGAAATCCGACGACCGCAGCCACCTAAACGATCGGACTCGTTCAAAAGAAACAAGGATCTTGCGGCTATAAAAGCGGATCAAGGAATCACTACCGTGAGCAACCAAAACGCTAATTTAAAACCAAAACAACCGGCTCAAATCACGCCCGCAATCAAACAGTCGAACTCAAGCGACGACATAACTTGCGAATGGGAAGACGTTACGGACGTTTTGGGCTTCTTAAATGAGAAGGTCAATCAGTTCGAGCGGTTACTTCTGGAGACTGGAGGCTCGAGCAAGTCGGGATCTGGCTCAGGATATTCCTCGTCCGACTCAATGACATCCACCAAGTAAAGTGTGCATGAATCACCCGGCTGTAACTTGTATGCAACTTGTCTTTTATAATTCAACCCACGTAGATATCACTATTGCTCCATGTATAGCCTCACGAACTAGAAAAAGGGTTTTCCTCAGGTTTCGCTGCTAAGTATGTTTTATTTTAATTAGTAAAGCAAGTAGCTGTGACCTTTTTCAAAACAAACACCAATTGTCTTTTAAAAGTGTACTTCAGTATGTGACATTTTACTCCAGCTGTCAAAGGGGCTTATTAACTCGACTGAGGTATAATGTTTACTAACAACAGCGAACAAAATGGAAGAAATAATGCAAAGGTCAAGAGAGCTTTTTTTTAATGCTCCAATGATTACAAGACGTGTGTATTTGTTCTGCAGCATGACCCCATATTCATTACAGTTTTAAAAAATGTACTGCGCTGTTTTCAGATAATATTAGTAGGAATTATGCAAATAGTTAACGCAGTTTACAGCCAGGTGTTTAGTTTCTTCGTAAATATGAATGGATTATGAGTTCAGGGCGTGACAGAAAAACGTGCGTAACGCAAAGGAAATCAATCTGAACTCTTAAGAGTGGGAGTCGAAATTGGCTCGGTGTACAAATTAAATTATCTTTCAGTATCACAGATCCATGATTATAAGCTTCTCAAGAGATCTTAAATGTATATTAAACGTTTGCAAAAGAATGTTTATGCGCTTGTTCTTCACCATTACAGTACAGTGGCTAGTAAGACAGCGCCATCCCGTAAAATGTTGCGTTTCCCATCATCTCTTAGCACGTGAAAGTCAGCTGAGTGAAAAAAAAGGAAGAGAGAAAAAAATTTATCGATCGTGGATACGGGTTGGGTTGCAATTATGTCAGGGGGTTTAGGTATTAATTTTTTCCATGCTTGCCCCCCTGATCGATTTTTCCCCCAAGTCTTTTCCGGCCTTTAGCCCCACTCAAGAATCATTTCCCAAACCAAATTTAATTTCATAAGTTTTGTTTGCCAGGCAGTATGTATTGAATCTTGATTAAGTTATTTGTACAAGAAAAAGGGCCTATCGTGCGACGGGAAACGAAACATTTCGTACGAATGACCAGTTTTCACATTAGTTAACATATGCTTCACAGCGATAAGTGACGGATTTGAATTGCACGAGTTTTCCAGGAAGACATCTGTACTTTCCTTCGGTTGGTATTGAAACGTCTGAACAAATCCTTAAAGTTAGGCTTCACTGTAGCGAAAGTGTGTTTATTCAGAAAGATGTACCACGTTGTTCCTCCAATTGGTTCGAAGCGTACCTTTTATCATGGCTTGATAATCAGACGAGCTGGTGAAGGGACCTACAAAAACAACTTATGTCCAGGGCTACTCTGTCGTTCCCCTAATGCACTTCAGCACATCTTCCATCTATTTAACTCTGAAGAAGAACGCAGGCATGCCATACGTAATTTAACATAAACAGTTTATGTGATACTGTCCTACTGATTTGTCATATTTTTAAGGGGGGTTATTTTGAGCTTCGTATCTTGTTGTAATTGACATTTTAGCGACATCTTTAGACCGACGCTGCAAACTACAATTCAGATAGTTTCATTGCGAACTGACAAGCATCAGGTCCCTCATTGAAACAGAGATCGATAGATTCCGTGGAGCTTAACTCTTTTTCTCTCGTGCCGTAATAGGAAATTGTACATCAGGTGTTGACAAATAGCAGCCAAAAAAATGAACACAATTTCAAGATAGTTTACTCTCAAGTGACCTTGTCCTCTTAGCTCCCGTGCACTCATGTGAATGGAAAGTCGCCGCTTACGTTTCACCGCCAAAAACATATCCATACCTTCGAATCGCATGAACAGATTCACCTAGGCCCTTCCTTCAAGAAAGAATAATATGCGACGCAATGATGTTCAGATCGCGTACATGTAAAGAATCGTTTTCAAATTTCTATGTTATTTTCAATGCTTATTTGTCAAGCTTATCCCTATTCGGAAATAAGATATTCCATTATCTTATTAAAAAAAGAAGAAGAAGAAACAAGATGAAAAGTAACGAAAATTATTCATACGCCAAGTCAAAAGATATCAACTGATGAAAAATGATCTGAGAATAGAAATGGTGACAAGGCCAATATACAATTTAACGCCAATTATACCACAATGATTAACAAAAGAATTGAAGCCCGTGACAGTATCGAATTCCAGACACGCAATGATAGTTTTTGCCATCTCATGATAGGGCTTATCATAGACGTCGTCCGCGTCGTTCTCACATATCCTGCGCCCTCTGAAATTTACCAGTTTAGCTGATTATCTACGAATGGATCAAAATCACTTGGAATGCCTAAGAATTGAAAACAAAAAGCTTCGTGGTAAGCACAATGAACTAGAGTCGGATCTTATCGAGGAGAAAGAAATGGTGAAATATTTGCATGGTGTGATAAAGAATTACCAACAGCTGTTAAAGTCACCACAAACGACACGACATCTTCAAACTGCTTCTCAAAAGAGCGTGCGTCGATCTTCGAGTGCCCGACGAGTGACTAGTGAAAAAGATGTAGAAGAATCGTTCCTGAAGAATTTGATCGAAATGAGTAGTTTTCATCCGGGAAAGAAGGAAGCGAAACCTAAGGAACAAGGGTTCGTGCCAAATGATAATTCACATTCAAAGGCGTTAGACACGTCCGACTGTGAAGATACAGACAGAATCGATAACAACAACAGCCATGTATCTGATGAAATTTTATTACCTACTGATCAGCGACGCGAGAGATCAGAATCTATTCCTCCTACAAACTCGTTTTACTCGAATTTTCTGAGTCAAAAGACCCGTAAACCACGAGGAAATACTATCTCGGACTTTAGAACACTTCCCCTTAGCAACCCGAGCGCGAAGTGTTTCGAGAGAGAGCATGTTATGCAAGAAATGACCCAAATGTTGGACTCCATGATGCAGAAAACAACTTTACTCGAAAAAAGCTTAAAACAGAAGGACAAACATTTGACAAAAATGGAACGAAGGTTCGAATACTTGGAAAGCATAGCGCTTGGAGAAGAATCTGAATGTCTGTGACGAGCTTTTGCGTGACTCACCTGATTTGAGGAAATAAGGCATACGAACGCCCACGCGGTGAAGGAAGTTCGTACAATCAACGAAGATACAATTTACTTACCACTCTACCGTGGCCATGCACACAATTAATTTATCGTCAGTTTACATTGGTGATCAAAGGTCCAGCTCGGTTTCCAATATCTTGCCCCTCCTCTCTTTTTTTGGCTCAATAGCTAGGTGATTAATTTACATGAGACGAGTGGCAAGTCCACCCAAATCCCACAAGTGCGATCACAGTCCTTGTAATGCATATCTGTAAAGGTTTCAGTCGAACGATTTATTCCGGTTACCGGGATTAAACTTGAAAGGTGGCGTCGCGTTCATCGCGATCACCGAGTTGAAATTTCCCACTGAATGGAGGCCGGACTGAAATCTCCGTTCACTTAGCAAGCTTAAATTTCCTATATGAACAGAGGACATTTGTCTTGCGAACCAGGCTGAACCTGACACTGGCCTCTTATGATGACTCGGAAAGGAGAAAGAATGGAAACCAACAAGGCTTCGCTTTCCAATAACCTGACGGACAGAGGTACAAAAACATTTAAATACCGTGATTGAAAGAAACCTCGAGACAAGGAACTATTGCAAAAGAGACTATGCAAAGCTGCTATAATAAAAGTGTTTAAATTATCACTTAAAGAAGTCGTGTATTAGGTTTTATGGAAATTTGTTTCTAGTGATTTGTTAAGTTTACATGAAGAGTTATATTTGCGATTCAATAAGCGGAAAAAACAATGTGAATGTTTGACACGAATAAAGGGATCGAAAGAAGAATAGAAAATCCGCACGCGTTAATAAATCAAATCAGAAACCGCTGTCATGCATAACCTCTATATTGTCTCTTTCTCGTTTTCCTGTGGTTAAAGTGTACTTCCGCGCTTAGGATCTTAGTGATATTTAGTCATTAGAATCTCGACGAAATGAATTCTTAGCCCAAGTTACCTCGCCTTTATAGAGAAGCCATGAACGTTATAAAGCTTCACGTGACGACTGAAGTAGAAAAACGTCGGTGTACTGAACTCCTGTCGCCGGGTTTCTCGCGTGATTGACCGTGCCAGCTGGGATGCCTTCAGTATATACTTATAATACAATGTGAGATCAAGAAGCCGTAAGTTACAATGGTTAGCCTGTGGACCTTAATTAAACCGAACCTTCCCCCGTCTCCAACCCCAGAAAAGGGTGCGAGCAGACTCTCAATCAGTGAAGTCTGCGAAAGTCGAGCCGGCCCTTTCTCAGTCTTCGAGGGGTTTGGCAGCTTGCAAGATGCTGGTGATTGAGGCGACAATGAAAGCGTGTTCGTAAGCTACCCTCAAAAGGAAAGAAACCAGCCACCGATTCCCTTAGTGATAACAGATATAGCTCGTGATTATGGCAATAGCTGCAATCGTCTAGGGGAAGAAAACCTTAGCAAAAATAGGATATCACTACCAGATATGAAGGTCCAGGACTGTGGAAAACCACTCTTTCCATATCATTAAAGGATCATGCCAGAAATAATCAACAAAACAGTTAAATCCAACCAGGGAAGTAACGCGCTTAACCTCTTCCTAAAGCTTAATTAAAGACCCTAGATGGCTGCAGGCACGAAATGAATAGTTGACAGGTAATCTGTATTCTTCGTCTTCCTACATCCTTTTTTAACCTTTGTTTACTCATTTGATATCGATATATTGTAATTGAATATTACTCTGAGGTTTTTCACAGCTGGTCGTTCCATTCCGCAGAGATCTCTAAATTGCCTCTTAACAGCAGTTCTTCCTTCCTTTTTAAAAATTAAAAAAAGAAAAATAAATGAGATAACGGAAACCAAATTGTATGGGCTCCCTGGGTGGTTGGGATAAGCTGTATAGTCCGTGACAAGATCGTTGCGCAATTGAAGTATGAATTTCATTTCTAGAAGGTGATTTTATGCCTGTCTCTACACGCGTGTATCCGCGCAACTTTGCGTGTTACGTGGTGGATTTGCTTTGTCGGACGAAAAACACTGGAAACTAGTTTAAAACGTAAATCCAACATGGCGGCTTGGATGAAGATGTAAACAAGAATGAGTTAATGATCTGTCAGTTTTTAGGCAAAAACAGGAGAATAATGAGGATTTTTAACATCACACGCCTTTAAGTTGATGTTGGATCTTGCTAAATGTTGTTTATATGGAAAAAACGACGTCCCATTGGTGTAAAATCTCGGAGATGGAGACCTCGTGCAGTCGTTGGGATGAACTGCTGGAGGTAAGGAATAACCTTCTTACAAACTGCTGGACGAGCATGTTGTTTCAATTTATGGAAAGACTCCCATTTAACCCATAAAATTCTAAAACAAAGTCGTAGTCCTAAAGGTAATCTATTGTTTTGCTATTGTTTTCCTCTTTCAAGTATATACTGAATTAATATGATATGTACAATGTCAACATAATGAAGAATGGACGTAAGAAAAAAAAATTCCAAATCGTACTTAATTTATTTCTACTTCATGTCTGGGGCGGATCCAGGATTCGTTTGGCATGAGGAGTGGGTGGTGGGGAGAGGGGGGGAAGGATCTTCTCCAGGAGAGATCTTGGGAAATGGGATTTCCAATGCCCAGAGCCAAGAACAAATTAATGCACGAAACGTGAGTTTTGAAAATAATTCACAGTGGCAAATTAACATCATCAACTCAGTTAAAATTTTTTGTTATGATCCTACACTGAATTGCAGCACTGCAGTTTCTTTAGAAACTTACCTCCTTTATCTATCTAATATGATACTTATTAAGTGTGTGACAGTAAAAGAATCAACATAAATTTAATACTCACAATATTTCTATCCTCACCATGCCAAAGGTTAACAAAACACGTACCAAAACACGTACCAAAAGAACCCAACTGATTTGGGGCAGATTAAAGATAGAGGCTTCACTCAAGAAAATTTTATCTGCATAATGTATCTATCCATATAAAGGTTCAACATCCCCCCTTTCTTCCCCGGTTACCCCCTGGGCATTGGAACTTTTAAAGATTTTTCTTTCCTTTCAATTCTTGCATGGGGGCAAAAATTGTGTTCAAATGTCTCCCTTTTTTTTTTTTTCGTGAAAGGTTAAATCAGGGACCTTGATATTCTATGCATTGACCAGACTTTAAAACTAGACCTTTTTAGACCTTTTCCTGTGGTTCATTGCCTCTTGAAAGTGAATTATTTACCCTAAGCACCTTCATATTTGTAATGGTAATTGAACTGAGTGGAGTGCAATGGGTAATCACATGATTTTGAGTGCAATTTGGGATAAATCAGCACAAGTAACTTTTTTAAAGGCCAACCAAATTGCAGGCAAGTGCAATTTGTATTCTTTGAAAAAATTATGAGTGCTGATTTATCCCAAACTGCACAAGAAAAATCATGCAATTACTAAGTTATAATTATACAAGCAAAATATGCCTCTGTTTCCATTTTTGGCTGTTTTAATTTTTTGTCATGGCTCACCAGTTCACTGAGCTGTTTGCCTTTCCCTGTTGCAGGAGTTTTTGGGCTTTCCCCTCAAGAACTTGCTTCAAATTTTCAAAACCTCTCTCAAGAATAATTCAGTGCTTGTATTCTTTCTCAGACGACAGCAGTAACCATTACTTGAAAACTTTTACTCTCATAATCTTCCCCATCTTTCATACATACTGTTACATAAAACTCCTTTAGGATTTTATCAGGGTCTCCAGTTCATACTTTCATATCTGTTTTTGGAAGCCAGACTTTTAGCCCGTTGTTTTACCTTTGTTAGGTATTTTCAATTTAGCATTCTCCCTCAAATTCTGAATTAAGACATTTTTACTTTCTCTTCACCTGTCCACCATTTTTTTTAGGTGTTTTGGTGACTCACCTGTCAATTAATTTAATTTCAACTTCCTGCACTTGATTTCAACTTTCTGCTCAGTTTGGGGCTAATTGACATGTTCTCACCCAATGAACATGCTGAAAACTTTGCATATGCATTATTAGGTCAGAAATTATATGTGATTTCAAAATCAAATGAGTCAGCACACCACAAGTTTGCCTTTGAACTCGCGCAAAATTACAGGACACAAAGTTTAATTACCATTTCATTACATCCATTTTAAGATTGAAAAATTCAGTCACTCAGATACAGGATTTTTTAGTCTTTACAAATGTTTTTTTGATCCAAGTGGTGAGCTGGTTTGTAAAAAGTTGCAAAAGTTGTTTTTCATTTTACTACAATTTGATTGTTTTCTTTTAACAAGCAATTGGTTGTTGTATTTAAGTAAAGCTTCCTTGATGGTGGGGAAAAAGATACAATTTAGAGCAATGGCGTGCTTGGTGAATAAATCACACCAGTGAGAGCCAATCTGATTATTTGGATCATCAGTGATTTCAAAATGGAGTGCATGTGAACTAAGTTCAATTTTCTGTCAAGATAGTGATTGAAGACCTACAGTTTATATGTACATGTATCCACTTTCAAATAGCATTTTGTAATGGAGCAATAAAAGATGTGGCTTAAACAAATGGAGCTATGGTAAACTAAAAATGTTGCGGAATCAATTGAGTCAATTTCAAGTGATCAAGTTCATAGCATAAGGTACCAAATGTTTTGAATGTTTTCATTCAGACAGAAAAGGACTAGGTCTGTGATAACCCCATTGCAGGCAACTGAAAATTGTTTCAACTGAGACAACATATCTTTTAAACTAAGCAATCTTATTGAAGATCATGACATTTGACTTACTGGTTGTTCCTATATTAAGTAATGATTATACAAAACATATAATTTATGATTAAAATTCCTCTAGTCATATACAACTCCTTTGAGCAAATAATGAAGACAACTTAATAAAATATATCAACAAAGGGTTATTGCTCTTTTTTAAAAATTGAAATCTTCATTTTTTTTATTTGATTGGCATTAAGCATTTTGCTGAAATAAGGATGAAATTTTGCTCTGAGACATATTCTGTTTCACTGAATGTATCAATCATCAAATAAAACTCATATGCAAACAAAATGAGAATAAACTTGACAGAGTAACTGTAGATAAGACTTGTATGCTTTTGATTTATTTTTCAATTTTTTCGCAAAGTTGTTTGAAGGAAGATTTTTGATTGTTGAGTTATATTGGGGGTTTCAAACCTCAAAATTCAAAGTTAAATATGGCAGTCCATCACAAGCAGATGTTAGGCATGGTTGTGTTTTTTGATTGTGAGATAATTTAGATAAATACAAAGTAAATCATGATTTAAGTTTAGAGAAAGATGTATGAACCAAATCAATAGTCAAAACACCATATGTTTGTATAATTCAACCAAGATCAATCGCAGGCCTTCACCATTACACTCAGCAGCCAATTTCAGGCATAGGTAAAAAAATGATTTAAAAAGTGCTCTTGTTTACATTGTATTGTTGGGGCAAGGATAGCTAATTATCAAACCAATCTTAAATAAAGAGAGGGAGGACTCAGAAAACAGGAAGTTACAATTGAGAATAGCTTAATATGCAGGTAATTTAAACTATTTCTACCATTCAAAGGCATCTCCTCAAAAAGGCACATGCATATCTGTACATTAAGTAGTTCACACTAATTTCAGCCAGGTGCTGTAAAGCATTGTTATTGAAAGAAGAATTTGCCTTTTACTTACAACAATTGTCAAGTTTGAAGTTGATGAATATTGTATGCTTAATGTTAATGAATATTCAAGCAGGTTGTTGGTTACTAGAGTCATCACCTTGCTTCATGATTTTCAGTTGAGAAGGACAACAAACAAGGAATTCACATGTACAACTTTTCCCTTATTTTGCTTCTTCAAAGTTAAGAATTTGAATGCAAATTCTGGTTATAGATCAAAGCATCAATTAAGTGTCATACTGTTCCTTGTCTCTGAGGATTTTATTCTCCTTTTCAAACAACAACAGACAGTGTTGGAGAGAGACCACAGATATTGCAGGAAGTCAATTTTAATATTACATGAACAACAAAAATAGACTGAATATGTGAACAATTCGAAAATTTGTGGTACACACTTACATCGGCATGAAGATGAAAATGTTTACATCTTGATATAGGCATTACATGTGCAGACCATTAATCCTAGAATGAGCGCCTCCACTGATAACCACTCCCCCTCCATCAGCCCAAAAAAATTTCAAAAGGCTCCCCTCCTAAACCAAGCTCCTCCCTTCCCTTTTTTCCACGTCTGTAGAAGAGACTACAAAGAAAGTTCACATCTGATACTCACATTTTCAAATATGACATGAGCGATAAAAATCACTTGCGCTCCCACACTTGCACCAATTTATAATAATGTTAAGTGTGGAAAGTATTAAAAAAAACCACAATTTTACTCCCACAGGCAATCCGTTGCTTTTACCATAATATTATTTCTTTTCTTCAGGGAACGGTTTGCATAACAAAGTATGTGGTTATATGGGAAGCTAGCCAAAAATCACACGTGTATAATATCTGTTCTGCATAATTTTTTGGGGAAAGCACTGCAGCATGGGTATTCTAGAAGTTCGCAGTATGCTTTTGACTCGAATGTAGCTTAATTGTTATTTGTAATTGTCTAGCAAAAAATAATGTTTGGAAGCTTAACCGTAGAGTGTCGTAAGTGCTTATCGCAAGTTCTCACGTTTGTCTCTTGTATGGGACACCCGGAATTTCTTTCTTAGAACAGGTCTAGTACATGCACTTATAAAAATTGTAGTTAACCTCGGGTAAATTAGTTATACCACTTGTGATACTTGGTGAACGAATTCCTTCAAATAATGCAGCAAGCCTTTTTTAACAAGCGGGGTCTTTCGCGTTTACAGAGACGCGGCAAGAGTAAGGAAGGTTGAGCAGTCATCAGTGGAGCTTCTCTTCATGTAGGGTCAAAGTCCTCAAATATTTTTTTATTTTTTTATTTGTGGCATCGAACCCTTGTCGACTGTCGTTGTTTTCCTACTGAAAGTTTCCAGTATCGTTCATTATCCCGTTGAATGCTGACATGAGAGTTTGGAAGGGGTGGGGGGGGGGGGGGGTAATGAATTGTAGGCTCGTGACGGTTTAAATTTTCCCGTCAATAACCCATTTTTAGAAGCTAAGTTTTATTCAAATCCCATAATTTTCTTCAATTGTGTGTCCTGGTCTTAGCGGTTATCATCATGATAATCTTCTAGCAGATAGGTGGCCTCATTATATATCCATTATAAGTGTACGTGCCTTTATCCGAAAAGTTTCAAAATAAAGGTCGGTGTTTATTTGCTTGCAACGTAGTTCCTCGTAATTGTTGGAGATTGAAGTACTGTATGATACGGGTAATCTGACATTCCATGGGAAAAGAAAAACATACCGACTTTACGGGCTGTTCAAGTAAGCTGGTTTAAGGTGATTAAAATATGCAGGGAATCTTTTTTAGCAGTTCAAGTTCATCTGAATTTAAGGGACTATATTTTTCCCATTACAACGATGATTGTCTCTCTCTGATGAACTTTACAGAGATTCGAATCAGCCTACTGCTAGTCATCCCCCCATCGATGTGAAATTTCAACAAAGGTGGCCGAAGAGCTCTCCGATTCATGATTTTCGGTAGGAAAACTGATTTGAATTGCAAATAATTTTGACACATTAATATTCATAATATGAGATTGGTCTTGCACGTGGAGAGACCTTACTAGTTGTAAGAAATGTCAGCGTATTTTTCAGGTTCTCAGGGGCCAGGAAAAGCCTTGTTCCAACCCAAATACCTTGGATATCGTCTGTAAAGGCGTGAGATTGTTTCTTAGAGGTTACTGAAGCAAGTGGTTTGAATTCGAAGACGAAGAAGGCTAAGTATGATGGATGTCATTTAAGTCACGACTCTTTTCAAGGTAAACAACGTACAAATATGTATTTATACGTTTTTTGTATAGAAATGCAGTGTATGTGTTTCAGGTTGTTGCTCTAGTATAATTTATGGTATGAGTTTAATGAAAAAAGGAAAAGCATGTTATACAAAGTTCAGTGTGAGACAATTTTTCTGTAGTAGCCGCCATGACAGTTCTTGATGAACCACGTGACTTTTAGGGCAACAATAGGAAATACGTACTTAATTCATGATGAACTGATCGCCTAATGACTCACTTATCTTTACTTTTATACTTATTATTCTGTACACAGTTTCTATTATATTGGTATTTTAAAGTTAAATTTGTTTCAACGCGCTGTTATTTTCCCTACTTCCAATCTCCACTAGAAAAGAGAATGCTAAGTCGTCTGAAATGATAGAATTCGTATCCGTTTTTAGGTCTTGTGATCATGGTTATGGTACATTGAAATTGTTCATCGAAAATGCGATGATGGCACCGATTGAGTCTTTCAATCCCGACATTGATCCTCATCAATCACCCAAAAAGCACTTACCATAATATAAGTATGTACGTTTTTACAATACAAATTTCTGCTTTTTCTCTCATCAGTAACAACGTTGGGCAAAAGATGAGGTTATCACTAGATCAAGAAATTCAAGCGAGGAAAGGAAACAAGACAACTTCCAAAAATGTGAGTTATTTGCTTGTTTGATTGTTTTTATCGTCTGTAATATACGCTTTAACCTGGATTTAACAAATGTCTGAAATTCAAAAACCACCAGGAGTAAAAAATTTAGGAAAAACTACAAACAGAGAAATGATTTCGACTGTTTTCTTTAATGTTTATTCCGGTGAATATATCTTTGATCAAGGTGATTTTCAGTCGTTTACAGCACTTTTAAGTTGATAAATCAATTACCACTTTTGATGATAAAATACTGTAGTCACAAAACAAATCTGGTAATTGTTTAGCACTTGAAGCTGAAACCGGCCTAATTCAATTCGTCTCAAAGTCGATACTTTCTTACCTCTGTCTACAGTTTCTCTAAGATCGCTGAATAGTTTGAGTTTTTCTTTTCAAAATTTGATCTTTTGTACTTCATTCGATAAAAACCTTGAAGTGTGATTGTCTAATGCTATAGAATTGGTATTTCGCAATAGTTTTTTTCCCCAAATTCTATTTTAAACCTCTGATAAGTTTGATAGGTTTTTTTTTGACAAACTTAGGAATTGTTTACCTCGTTCGATAAAACCTTTGAAGTTTAAGTGTCAAGTGGTCAGCCCTTGGCGCTAAAACCAAATTCAAATAGGATGCTCCAAAAGAGGATATTTTTTTCGCCGATACAGGGCGTGAAATTAACTTTTTTTTTCTGATAGCCACTTGGCTCTAAATTCTTCAAAGTAGTAGCCAATTCAAAAAAAGTTGGTCGCCATTTTCAAAGACAAACAAAATCTTTCTTTACGTTGTCAGCATTCTAGATAGACCTTCCAAAATTAAGTTAGGGAAAAGATCTTTAACGTGCTACAAAGTGGACACTAGGATGGATGATAAACAACGTTCAGGCTCATCTAAATCCAAGATGGCGTCTAGTTATCGATCGAGATGCATGTGCTACGTTTTGGAAACAAACTTAACAAGGAAGTTTGCCGCGGATTTATCTTTGCAAATCTTTTTAATTCACTATATCTCTTGGTAAGGTTATGATGAAACGTTGTAGTCGCCAATTTGGCGACTAACTTTCAGGATTTGGTCGCCTAAGTGAAAAATTTAGTCGCATTGGCGCCTGTATTAGGCGCAATTTCACGCCCTGCCGATAGTCATTTAATGTTTTCGTGAAAGCGAAAATCCAAAAGCCGTAGTGTTGATTAGACTTATTGCGTTTTCGATGTGGCTTTTATTCAAGGGAAGCGTCTATTTTTAAAACCTATTTGATGAAACACTGAGTTCAGTTAGAGCAAATCACATTTTAAATATTTTGTGACCAGATATTTTTTTTTAATTCCACCGTTTTCCTTTTTAGTGTATATTTTTTTCCAAGGATAGTGAAGTTTACCATGTTGTGCCACACTTGATATTTTCTTTTCATTAATTTTCAAATGAGAGCTGCATTCTTCTATTCAAGGGCAAAATTGTTTATTGCGATTAGGTTTGGTGGTGGCGCCTATGTCGTGGTTTGATTTTATCCTTGGTTCAAATTTTACTTTCTTTTGTTTTTGGGTATTGTAATGTAAGGTAATGATTTTGAATCAAAGGAAAATAAAATTTGAACCAGGGATATAATTGAACCACAGAACCTATTCACCGTGAACTGTGAACTGAAACTGTAAACTGTATCCTTTCACCTTGATCAGCTTTCGGTAGCCTGATATTGAATTGCGTTATCCAGCGACGGTTTGACAAAATAAATGTCATTTTATTGTCATTGAATTTTCACGTTCAGCGATTTGCATTTATAGGCTTGCGAAAATTATGGGATTCTTTGACCTTTGGTATGATGATTCTGTTATCTTTTTTTCATCCCAAGTGTGAGTAAAAGCACAATTGCATGTCACTTGAAATATTTACACAGACGAAAGAAGTGAATGGAAATATAATGATATAACTCATTTCTTACTACTATGAATCACATTCCTGCGTGATGATCTTAGAGGAATTGCAAGCGAACATTTAAATATGTTGCTTGAATGCAAGTGTTCACTCAGATAGAAAATACTCAATCTTCCAATACCTGAAAAAAATTATTAGAAAGGCAAGATTGTAACTTAATTTCAATACTTTTGAGAACGTAATAAATTTATCGAGAAATCCAGATTACGTCCACGTTCCTTTATAGAGCGACTTAGTCCTATAGGATTTAATAACAGATTTATTCTCGTTTTACATCGCGAAATAGTTTTAACGTTGGTTCATCTATTAACGACTCAAACTCAAAAATCGCGGCTTGAAAACAAGGTGTAAGGTCTGTTGTATTTGTTGATGTATCGTTTCATTCAATTTTCACGCAGATTGACTGATGCACGAATCAAACAAGAAAGGCTGTTACACAAAGACAAGATTTATTCAGAGGTATAAAACAGGTGCAGCCCATTGCCACCCCGAATACCGCCAACAAGAGCCAAGAGACATTTAAAAAAATCGACGACTTGAAGCCAAGCGTAAGCAAATGTTATTTTGCCATTTTATTGAAACCCAAAATTTTTTGCCAACGTAATGCTCATGGCCACGGGCTGTTTAATACTTTTATTTTTTCCCGCCAAAAAACTTAGAAAAATACGTGTGCCTATACTACGCATGCGCCTTTTTTTTTTTTTTATTTAGTCTGTAAGTAAGATCTGTTCAAATATGGCGAATTTTCCCGCCAAAAGACTTATAAAAAATACGGCGCCCAAAATACGCATGCGCCAATTTTTTTTTTCTAAGTTTTATTTTTCAAGTAAAGTTTAGGTAATAAACTTCATCTTTATTTCCTTGTTGTCTTCATTTTCTGTATTATCATCTACTATAAGTTGATAAAGAGATCAGTTTTATTGTGTTTCACTCAAATACCACAAAGCATTTATTTGCTTGTTTAAATTCTCTTTAATAATCAGTTAAATTAATAAATAGGATGTAACGAAAAAGTTGTTATATATACTAAGACTTTTGGCGGGAAAATTTGGGCCGATTTGCACAGAGTTTCCCCTGGCAACATTTTCGGCAAAAATTTTAACAAGACTTCATAACAAATTTCCCACCAAGTAAACATTAAACAGCACCTCATGCAAAAAAAATTGAAAAGTAAAGGTCAATTTATCCTCTCTTGGAAAATAAATAGTAAAAGGTCTAGAACGTTTCGTTTCTTTCAAAAGATATTCTGACTCGACTATGTTTATCCCTTAGCGGGTTTTTATTTTTTTTTTTTTTTTTTTTTTTTTTTTTTGCACGAGATGATGTGTGTATGTTTTAAACAAAAAAAAGCATCATGGCAAGCTATAGAGAGCGCTGGAGCCCAATCAGAAAAATTAAAGATTTCAAAATTTTGATGATTCGTAACTTCAATTTTTAAACCGATTTGTTGAAGTCCATAGCTTGCCACGATGTTTTCGTAGAGAAATTGATCTTTAGAGCCACCAGTTTTCGAATGTGACACTGGACACAGGCTGTAAAAGGACCAACAAGGTTTATCCAAAATGTTGAACTAGATTTCCGAAGTAATTTGAAAAAAAAATTGTATAATAACGGTTGGAGCACATCCTTCAAATTTGAATCGCCGGCAATAGCTCACACACTCCACGATTAGGCTCAAAATTTCTTAACTCAATTCGCGAAGCACTTTGAGAAATTATACTTTGAGCAATCTCTTTGAATTTGATTGTAGCCGTGAGGGCTTAGACAAAATACAATTAGGCCCGAAGTTTCTCATACCAAATTCGAAAAGTAATGTGACAAATGAAATGGTATTATAAATTTATTTTAGCCACAAGCGCCAAGACATACGATATAAACTGAATTTTAAGACGAAACCAAAAGTGTTTGATCTTTTTTCTGTGTTCCTGTGTTACACCGAGTGAGTGCCCATAAGATCTTTCTACCATTTCAAATAAGGTGTAAATAAATTAACTACTAAACTATTTTAAAACCGAATGCCTGGTCTGAAGAGCAGAAGATGATTCTTTATTTCAAGTGCAACTTAATTTGCAAGTTTAACTTGATGACCTAACAGTTCCTTTGAAGAACCAATTGTATGTAGACCAGTTAAAATTCAATACGAATTTTAAACATTACTAGCTTTTCAACGCAAGGACGCTTTAACTTCGTGAATTTTGGTTCGCACTTTGGTTTGTTAAAATCAACGTGCATTCTGCACAAATTTCAGTATCATTATAAGAATATGTACCTTCATTTGGCCCTAATTTCTTAAATTTCCATGTTATTTTTCTACAATATGTCAAGACATTCAACAAGAAAACAGAACATAACTCATTTGGATGACAAACTGTTGAATTATTCAATTTTGATTCATTTACATTTGATTCGCAAGTTTTCGGAAAAAAGGTGCCTTACCAAAATTTCACACCGTTGTGCAAAAATAACATCAAGATTCCTCTGGGAATACCAGGAGACTCTAATGCTCCATCATAGAAATTACCACTTGCCGTTAAAATTTTTGAATTCTTGTGTACTAGCCAAAAGCTGCGTCGATTTTAGTTTAAACCGGCTTTAAATGATTTGCCTAGTGATTTTCTTTCGTCTTCTCCAGCGCATAAAATCTACTAGAAATGTAGAACTCTTGTTTTTGAAAAATTTTTGCCGGCTTATATATTAACAATCGGTTTTCAGAAAAAGCTCTTGACCAGGCATTCGAGTCTTAGACGTAACTTCTGCACTAGACGTGCTCAATTGATTGCACAAAGGAGTGGATACAAGATATTATGTGGCACTATTTCCTACATGAATGACATACAAATGCAACTTTTTAGAACGAATTAAAGTTCTTAAATTTAGTTCATGTAGAGAATGAATGTGCGGTTAAAAATTATCGTTGTTAGCCGATGTTTGTCGAAATTAGTTGACTGGCCTGAGCTGAGTCAAATGAAGAGTGATTATGGGTCAATTAGTACAGCTTTCGTTCGTAAAAGTGTGAACTCGGTCAACTCGGGTAAAATAATAGCTGTCAGACTAAATTGGCGTTGGTCAGTTGATCAATCGATAAGGTTGGTTTATTCCATTGGTTACTTTGTGGGATTTTAAGTCGTTTGTAAGGTGCTGGCAGTTGTCATCTGTAGGAGTCTTTTTAAGCTAGTTAACAAGCTTGATTATCAAGGTCAGTCGTTGAAAATAGGGGAATAAAGGTTTTGACATCGAGCAACATGCCAGTCAATAGTGTGGTTTGTGAGTCAGCGCTGTTCATCAATACGATTTTTGAAATGAAAAAAAACAGCTGGGATGAATTCAACTCTTCAAAAAGATTTAGTTTGAAATTCTAGAAGTCTTTTGTTAGAGTGCCACCTTAACAAATGTCCCCTTTGTGCAACATCAACTGAGGTATACTTATGATACAAACTGTTAAGCAAACGAAAATTGAGCGATTGGTAGTTCAAAATCAAAGATTTCAGTTGCAGCTTTCTGTAGCCAGGTATAAATAAATTTCCAGATGTTACTTTGGTTATTTCGATAAAATGAAATCGTCCGAGATAATTTGCTCAAGTTGTCGCCAGTAGTTTAATTTAATCATACTATCCCTCAGGGTCTACAAAACAATCCCTATCCAAAAATAGTGCCTAATTGAAAACTATTCACTTACCAAGTATCCAGTTCTATCCATTCCCTGACTCTAAATGAAAGAATGAAGTCTTCGTACGATAATAAGACGAGGAGAGCCACTATTTTTGCTACTTTTACTCAATAATTTCAAAATTCTTATCTTTGCAGTATCCAATACTAATTCAGTCATCCTAGTGTATCCTTTTGACCAGAATCTTTGTCCTTCTATCCTTTTGACAACTTTGCTTCTCCTGAAAATATGAATAATGAATGCTTATCGTCACAGGACGAAGTCGCTTAATCTCGAGACCTTAAAATTTAAGTTCCATAGTTTCTCCGCACTAAAGCACAATTATAGAGGAAAGGAAAAACAACAAAACTTTTCGAAATATAACGTTGAATGAAGCAAAGTTATTTAGTGTCTTGGGTTATTTATGCTGAATAGTTTTCACATATCCACATGGCCATCTTCAACTTCAAAATTTCCTCCCTGAAATCTTTTTTTCCTTGATTCACCAAAAGATAGCCATGAATTTCTCTAGAAATATTTTACAATCATAGTTACTGCTTTCTCGAAGCAAACACCCTAATTCAATCGGACTTCGAATCGAAGAGCCGCTTAGACGAAGCAATCGACTTGTGTTTAGTTGTTTCAACGAGATACGACAAATTTAGGTCTCTGAAAGAATTTGAAACAATATTTTCATAAAGAAATACTCACTTAGTTTTGTTAGTAAATCCAGAGTGCTTCTGACTATCTTTTGTAATGGCCCAAAGTCGTTTGCTTTTCAGAGTGTAACTCTATGTTACTACTTCGAAAGTTTCGTCTACACTCTTCCACGTGCACGGACAGCGTGGTTTACTGAAAACTCTACAATTCCTGATGAATATGGATCAGCACCTTCAGCCAATGATTGACTGATGCGTCACTGATCTGGTGCAAAAGAACGCGAGGCTTTGTGTGAGATTAATTTGCATGCGAGAAGTAGGGAAAAAATTATCATTAATCGCACTGTAGAGAGTATTCTAAAGTATTGCGCGAAACTATGGCGAAAATAATGTTTAACTATGGCACTATTGCTTTGTTTTTAAAAAAAGTATGGAATTTTACAGAAATCCTTTCCTTATTTCAAAAGAATAAAAAGCTGACAAGAAAATCGAAAAAGAAACATCATAGTATATGATGATGATGAGAAAACCGAAAAAGAAACAAAAATGACAAGATTCCCCGCGCCAGGGTTTGAACCCTGACCACGGACCGCAACATGGTGCAGTCAGATGCTCTACCCACTGAGCTGCGGGGAACTTGTCAACATTTCAGGCTGAATTTTAAAGTCATTTTTTAGGTGTCCTATGCACTGCAAAGATAAAGCCTAGAAACATATGCGCTGTTCCACAGGACGAAAAGAATCTCCCTTGCAATGGTTCGCAATTGACCTAATTAGTAAGAACAAACTCTTTCCACGTAGATTTGCTGGTTCTATGAAGGATTACCTATTTTCCTTTATTAGAGAGTCTCAATAGGGTTAACCAATAGTTGTAAAACGGCCAAAAAGCTAGTCCCTAGGCGTAAAAATTGACAAATATTAACCATTAGTCGTTAAAAAAAAGTTAACCGTGAAAAAAAAAACTATCTGGTGACCACAAAGGAAAGTTATTAACCGTCAACCGTAAATTGGCAAAAAATTTTAACCGTTAGCTGTAAAAGCCATCATCCTAGTATTGAGACCCTCTTGTTATATAAATAATTTTTGTTCTGATGCATCTCATCAACTTCACATGTTGAGAAAAAACATGCAATTTATCCGATGATAATAATATTTGTATCAGTATGTGAGGACATTAAAGACGTGTTATCAACAAGAAGAAAAATATGATGAGAAAACCAAAAAAGAAACAAAAATGACAAGATTCCCCGCGCCAGGGTTTGAACCCTGACCACGGACCGCAACATGGTGCAGTCAGATGCTCTACCCACTGAGCTGCGGGGAACTTGTCAACAACTCAGGCTCAATTTTAAACCCATGTTTTAGGTGTTCTACGTGTTACAAAGACCAAGCCTAGAAACACACGTACTATTCCATTAGACGAAAAGAATCTCCTTTTCAATAGTTTGCAATTGACCTAAATTAGTAAGAAGAAACCCTC